AAAGTAATAATAGCATATTTGGACAATTTCTTGATATTTCTGCAGCTGGGAACATAAGAACTTTACATAGTTTGGGGTTTTTTTGTAATTTCTCATCGTTTAATGGATTGAAAATACTCTGTACTTGTTTTTAAATCACTCAGCTATCTCAGAATCACTATCATAGTGTAACCTATTTGACAAAGATTTCAGCCTGTCCAGATGTGGAATGGTGCGTCAGAATGAAAAACCACTATTTTTCATAGGATTGGGTATTTGGCTTTCTTGGACAAGAGATCTAATCAGCTCACTCAGGTTTCCCTAAGGGAGGTTTCAGACAGTCTCCATTGTGTAGGAGGGCACCCTGGCTGTGCACTGAGATTAGCCTGCAGAGATTTTATGGGGTTGAGAAAGAAAGGTAAGCTCCCTCCTGCTGCTGGTAAACACTGTTATTGTTCTCCATTCCCTGCTGAATGGCACAAATGCAATTCTGCAACGTCAATTACTGCAATAATGAAAGAAATGACACAAAATGACAAGGAATGTGCTAATTCGGTAATACTTAAGTCATTGACATATTAGTCCCTTTATTGCTTGTTGTTACTTTCAGGCACGTACTCTTTTACTCATAAATACTGAGTGGATTCTGGGGACTTAGTATTTAAATAATAAATTAGTAAAACAAAGATTAATGTGAAAGAAGTGGTGCCCAGTGATCTTTTAGAAGCTGTCTGGTCAGTACTGAACACAGAACATGTCTGAGGAAGTATATGAAAAAAAGACTTCGCCATCCTTGCAGGACTTGCTAGCTGCATCCTTTCCAATGTCCAAAAATGGAGACTTGCTAAATATTATTTATATGATAACCAGGAAGGAAAAGGTGGCAAGTGAATAGGCTGCACCAAAATATTGTATTTTTCCTCTGCTTAGACTTCCCGCAGTACCACAAAGGAGATGAGTGCTATTAATTTTTTGTGAACGCCTTACATGTAGCTGTGGATGACAATGTGTGAATCTGTGTTTACACTGCTTGGAAACCACAGCCCTGTGAAACAGTGACAGGTCTCCTGTATCTGCGGCCCTGTACCGGCAGTGGGGAGCGCGAGAAAGCTTGGGCACAAAATCAACCTGCTCTCAAGGTCTCAGAGAGAACACAATGAGAATATTTTCAACTCTTTTTTCTAAAAAGATCCACTGCACTTAGGTAACAACTCTGTTTAAAACCCACATATACACTGAATATGTAAATTCCCTTGTAGAAGTCAAGCATTACCTATTATAATAATGAACAAAGAAACAAATTTTTCTAAAGAACTGAATAAGAAAGCAAGTCTTGCATGCCACAATATGTATCTCTAAAATCACGAAAAACAGGACCACTGGGAATTGCTAGCAGTTTCAGCTGCAACGCTGAATAATCTAAGTAATCCTTTTTCTATTGAACCAAAATGAAAAATGAAAAGACTTTCATTGAAATACAGTCATAAATTCCATCCATAAGACTTTTCCTGCAATTAAGTTACATTTACTGATCCACTACTCCCTTAAAAGGAGCATTAACACAAAGACTTCAATTATTCATGGTCAAACAAAGTTGATTCTATTGCTACAGTCAAAGCGGCATTCTCTTTTACTGTGGTTATTTCTGTAGTATCTTCAAAAAGGGCACAGAGTCTGTGAAAACATGCAAGTTTTTGAGTAAATGCTATTTCCATGATCAGTCCTAGCTTCTTACATTTAATACTTTTGCCATGTGCTCCTTTCATGAGGATGAAATTTGCTGGGAGTTTTTGTACCCTTCATCCTTTTAAGGGTAAGCTGATTGAAATACTATTTTTTTTTTTAATCTAGGTCAAACATCCTGAGAAAAAGAAGTCTTTCTCTATCTAAAAGAAAAACCAAGAAACAAAAACTACAGGTATTTACTGTTATGGAAAACTTATCAGTGAGGAAAGAAACCCAGGGAACTCCACAAAATGACCTCTGTGGAAGAAAGTTTGTGGTTCTTGTGTTGTCAGCAGAGGGCTTAAAAGAGCTGCAGAGGGTCTAACATCTATGAAGAGCCGTACCTACTTCTGCTGCTGCTAAAAGCTTCTGCAGTACTCGCCACTCACTCTTCCAGAATTCCCAAGTGCTGTCCATTTCCGCTCATGGTGCCGTCCCCCGAGAGTTGGCACCCTCTGCTGCTGCTGATTGCTGCCCAGCCCCAGTCTGAAATACCCGACGTGTAACTGCCTTAATGAAGCTGTGGAAGTATGCGTTTTAAAGGTCAAGAGTTCCCAATCAATCCGAGGAATTTAAGAAGGGGATAATATTGCTCAAAGACACTAAGCAAAACTTGATCTTCTAGAGATACTTGTTTCATTTTCAAAGGTCGAGAATGAATACAGATTCTCGATATTCTTTGGTATAAGAAAATACCAGGGATACATTTCTTTGACTCAGTAAGAAGCCTGCCATATGATCTATTAAATGTAATGTTAACAGGGAGAGAAATGCTTTCCTCAGTAGACCTCCCTAATAAGCACAGCCCTGAAACATGACAGGATGTTACAGACTTAAACTGTTGTGTAAAAATCTGTTTTCATGTAAATGTGCTACAGACTGACAATTGATTGAGACACATATACATAATAACATAAATACTTCCTCAAAAGGTAGTAATTTGTTTCTACAATGCCATGCTCTCTGAGTCACGTCTTTCAAAGACATGGAAGTTAATGAATGCCTACCAGGAGTAAAAGAATTCTGCCTGACCATCTTGCAGATGTCAGAGGTTTAATAGATTTAAGTGTTCCTCTTATTTTGCTTTATCATAAAATTGTGTAACTGAAAAAGAAAAGAAATATTTAGAGACTACAGTGCCAGTGAATTATGACCACAAGATTCAGCAGTAAGCCTTGGAAGTGTAGGCTTTATTTAAATAAGCAATTATGTTTTCAATTTTTTTCCTCAAACAAGAGATAACCTTGATGCACTACAGCTTCTTGGCTTCAGACAAGGGACAGAAAGGTGAGAAAGCAATTACAGTGTTAAAGAACCCCTAAAATCCTAACCTGTTCTAAAGCATTGCCTTTCTTTCTTTCCTGTTCAACCCACGTATTTACGAAACTTATCACTTAAGTAACACCTATTTAATGTACCAAGAAATGTAATAGCGGACAGTGATTTTTTTTGGCTTTGCTCCTTTTGGTTTGAAAAAGAGGAACTGAAGATCATTATGTGGGTTGGGCACTTCAGTCACAAGTTGCTTACATGCATGACTACCCTTCGAAATTTCTCTTCATTATTTTTGACTCACACATCATTGACACAAGGCCTGTGACAATAGGAGACTGCAAAGACCATAAAGAAGAATTTTGGAATAATTCATTTGACAACTATGCTTGTGGGAAAGAACATCAGTAAAAGTGCTGTACAGGTACTGTAACTGAGCCTTTTCATTACGTGGAGAGCAAAAAGCTTCATTAATTTTTGCTGTAGGGCATCTCACATTTGAATAGCTATATTTAAGTGACATTCTAGCTTTCTCGTGAGAAGCTTAGAAGGTCTCCTCCTAGATAATTAATTATAGCCCTGCAGTCTAGTGAAGAATCACAGGAAAAATAGAGTCTTCAACTAAAAAAAACCCAACACATTGAGGAGATTTACACAAGGACCACATGTATTACAAGAATTTACCAATAGCATAGTGTGTTATCAGTATATTCTAATAAACTACTTTTATTTTTGCACATTTAAAAATGGACCTTGTTAATAATTACAAAAATCCCCTAAAAACCATAACCCTTTGCCAGAATAAGTCACTTTGCCAAGTGAAGAACTGTTTAAATATCCACAAAATTTCACCACAAAATCAGCCTAATTTTCTGTCAGCCTTCTTAGAAAATCAGGCTGTCTGGAGGACATAGAAATTTACACTGCAGTTACTCTCTAAGAGTAAAAATGTTCCCATGTATTGCATTTCCATGGAAGAATTAAACAGAATTTTGCCTTTTGGATGGTGCAAAGTAAATTGCTGTCACTATCTGATATCAGATTATTTAGGAATATCACCACAGAGTAATTTAATTTGAATTCTGAAAATCAGTCATCTAGCCCATCTCAAAGTCAGGTCCAATTATACCAGTTTGCTCAGGAGTCTGTTGGGTTCTGAACATCTCCAAGGATGAAGATTCCACCACCTCTCTAGGCAACCTGTTTCAGTATTTGACCATTCTCAAAGTAAACACATTTTTCATAATAGTTGAGTTTTCTAGTGCTCCATCTGGTGTCCATTGTCTCTTACACTATTGCTGTGCACTCTGAGCTCAGAGTCAGGCTCTGCTGTCTCTGTACCATCCCATTTTGTCATTGGAGACTACAAGTTCCTCCTGTAAATCCTCTAATATTAATGCTGTACAAGTCCAGTTCTTTGCACCTCCCCTTCTACATCAGATGCTTCAGCCCCTGACCATCTTGGTGCACCTCTGCTGGACTCACTGCAATATGTCAGTGCCTTTCTTGAACAAGCCCAAAACTGGATCCAAAACTCTGAATGTGACCTCCCATGTGCCAAACAGAAGGGAAGGATCACTTCCCTGCATCTGCTGACTATCCTCTTGGTAATAACCACCTAGGATGTGGCCGGCTGGCACATTACTGACTCATATTCCACTTGTTGTCCACTGGGACCTTCAGGTCTGTTTCTGTCAAGCTGCTTTGCAGCAGTATTGGCATATGGGGTTATTATATCCTGGATGTGGGACTGCAATTGCTTTTGTTGAACTTCATACATTTCTTGTTGACCCGATTTCCAGCCTGCTGAGATCCAGTGTATAGACTACTCCCTCAAATCTGGTATTGCCTGTGAACTTGCCAATGGATGACATTATTCCAGCAGGACATGGCACTGTTGATCATGTTTTGTTCAGGTGGGTGTGTCACCCATCTAAAAGTCTGTCTATAAAGACACCATACGAAAACAAATTGGAAAGATTTAAGATTCCAACTAGTATCATGCCCAAAATAGCTCGCAGTCCTTCTAGCTAATACCATTTATTAATTATTAATTGATAACAGACAAACAGAATAGTATGGGTAGTTCATTTAGGGACTGAATCATACGAAGTATCTATTACAATCTACAAAATTAGTATCTGCATATGGAAGCTGTTTCTATTTCATAGGAAATAAAAGTTAAGGATTCCAGTCACATAAAAATATGTTAGATAAAACTTAGACTTCAGAAAATTTTATTCAAAAATGACTGTACTGAAGGTTTGTGAACCGAAAAGTTTGTGTGATTTTTTTTCTCCAGTGAACAGCAGTGAGTCTAATAAAAGATTATCATCCCTGTCTACACACTTGGCCTCACTCACTCACAGAATGATAATTTTAAACCTGTGATGTGCAATTGCCAGCATTTTTGCCTTGGTCTCTCAGAACAAGAAAAGGGAAAAAAAAAGGAAACTGAAGCTTTCTTGGTGCAGAGGAAGTATTACTGTGCTTCAACTGTTTGGAAAATGAAGAAAAGTGTATCTGGGAATCATAAACTTGATATAGCCTCAGTATTATATAGTAAATAATTATTGTTCATATCCAGGTTAGAAAAAATAACCAATTTAAGGGATATTGTCAAGGGAAAAGGCACTAAGAAGAAGGAGCTTTCTCTTAAATGAAATCTGAACAATATTTTCAGTATGCAGTACTTAAAAGATCTTATATTTACGTTCTACATAGGAATGTACCATATGCAATCAAGAATGCTTTCAAAAATTAGAGGACTTTTGTATAGTCAGAATAGATGGTGGAGTGGAATAAACAAGTAGAGTGTGTTCTTGGACTTTGGGTCTTATTTTCATACAATTAAATATGGTAAGTTATCCATTTCCCTATTACACACTACAGTCCTCACCCATCATGGTTCTATTTTTATTATTACACTGATGTAACTGCACTACTGTCTAGCCCATTAAGTATCAGTGCTGATAATTAAGATGTATTTTACTGCTTTTTAAGGTATTTTTAATGTATGTTTGGTTATACAAATGACATCAAGTGATGAACTACAAGTCAAGGCCAGTAAGAAATTTTGTTTCCAGCTGATATGAATTCCTTCATAGAAAGTACAATATTAATTCATGTATAGTTTGAAAATTTCCACTAGCCAGAATAGTTGCAAGGAATGTGGCATGAAACACATGGTCCAGGCAAAACAATATAAAAAGGCTGAAACTTGCATTAATTTGAACACTCTAAATATCATATCCTTTAACTGCCCAGATTATAACTTGTAGAACACACTAGTGTTTATTTATCTTTTAAAATTCAAATACAAGTTAGCAAAATTATTGCATGTATCATTTTCACACATTTTTTTCACATGAGAGATGTAGAAATTATTTTATGAAGCATAAGATTATTTGAAGCATAAGTAAAAAAAGAAACAGTTAAATCAAACCAGTTGTTTGCTTGTATAGTAAAATGAGCATCACTTTTCTTCAAAGAAAAGCTCCCCAAAGGATTATTTTGAATAAATTTTGAAAAATGCTACGCTGATGTTTTCTTCTTCAGTTTCTTGTACCACACAGGTACTTCTTTATTTGTCTGTAAAAGAAAGAACATTTAGTTGTGACACAGTGAAAAGAAGAAAAACATGCAATCTACACAATTTAAAAAATCTACACAAGTCTCCCTCCTTCCTATGTAGTTCAAAGTTGAGTTCTTTCCTTGAATGCAAATATCAAAAACAAAACTACACATTTAAAGTTACTATTACAACATACCAGTATTAAAACCTCCCCATTTCCAGGTTATAAAAAGCAGATTCTATGGTGAAAATGAAATAATTTGAGAAAAAATACCTGTCACAATGAAAACAAGCATTAACTGTGCCATAAATAGGTTTCTTTTGAAATAACATCAACTGTGTTTTCCAGCTAAGAAAGGATTAGATCTTAGAAAAGAGATCTTAGGTGTGCCAAAACTGACCAACACTTTATGCAGAAATATAGTTCTTAAAAATTTTTAGTTGAAAATAAAAGAATACAGTAGTTTTCTAACTCTGTACAAGATATTTTAATTGCAGAGAATTATCTGTGAGCAACTTTTCCTTGCCTTCATAGTCCTATGGGTTACTGCTACACAGTCAGGATTGTTTGTGGCAAATTCAGTGGTGGTTTGTATAAAATAGAATAGGTTAATAGAAATAAAACTAATCAAGTGGAGGTGGAACAAGATAAGGACTATTTTGCTTTCAGGATTGGGTATAATCTCTTGAATTAGTGAGCACTGTCTCAGTCTGTTGTCCCTAAAATCATTACTTTCTAGTTCCCTTTTCTGACTGCTCTCTATTAATTCTTTCCTCCAAGACTTAAAAAGCATTCAGTTTAAAAATCTACTTTATTATTTTTGAAGACCTCAGTTACAAAATCAAATCTGTGCTATTTGTGCAAGCATTTAGAATTCTGGAAATTGACCTAAACTGGCAGGATTTTCACAGGACTACTGATTTCTTTTCCTATCTAAGAAGAAAACCTGTGCCATATACCCATTTTCAGTTCCCTACTCCTAAGTCTGCAAAGGCTAGAGTTTCTCACAGAGAAGTTGGTTACAATTCCTTAATGTAAATGCAGTTTTTCTGGATTCCTACACAGTTTCTATATCCCTAAGTAAGACAGGACAGATTATGCAAGGAAACCCCAGGTCATTTACACAAACTGTTTGCTTATGTTTCGGATCACTGTATAGCTCCATCAAAAACAGAGTTTGGGCAGTATGATTTAGCACTACCGAAAGGACTATGGATGAAACAGCACTGGATAAGCCTGTGTTTACTCTAATAATGTTATTCAAGCAAAATCTGAATTCCTAAAAATTCCTAAAATCCCCCAATGTCCTCACATCATGTCCCAGCGATGCTACTGTTTCCTACACCCAGTGGCTGGTGTGCTACACTACAAACCCATATCATTTAAGACACTGTATGTTAAAGTCTCTACCAGGAAAAAAATAAGAAAGACAAAATGAGAAAAAAAAAAAAAGATAAAAAAGAAATAAAGAGTTCTCTTTGGACCAAATCAGCACATATGCTATGCAATGTAGATACATCCAGTTCACTGCAGAGAAAGGTAGCATCATGAAGTTTGTAAATAAGAGTTGTGACTTGCTTTGTGATTCAGCATTGTAGTTTGGCTGTCTTGAATCTATCAGTTCAAACACAGTCATAGTCAGAAACTTCTAAACCATTTTCACGAAACTTTCCAATAGCAGAGGCATTAAATCTGAAGTGGGCCACTTCAAATATTAAAATTCAAGCTTTTAGTTTCTGAAGGAATAAAACAGGGTTTTATACTAGTTTTATAACATCAGGCTTCCTTAGCAACAGAAGCGATATCAACACTGGTGTTCTAGTTTTTATATATATTTAGATACACACATACACATTGATAAACATCAATTTAAGTATGCAGAAATATACCTATTTCCTCACTCCTGCTTCTCAATAGAGACATGCACAAATTCCACTTACATACAGTCATGGTAGATTTAAATTAGTATACATGGTCTGTGAATCCCTATAACTATTAAAATCTCGCTAGCCACTCAGTATTGTAATACAACAATGGTATTTTTTTTTTAAATACCTGGTTTGCTGTGGCTGTAAAATATAGAAAGAAACCAAATAGCTAAAAAACATCACACACTCTTAATTTTTCTCCTCAACACTGACTGAGGAGACCTGAAATACATAAAGAGCTGAATTAATTGCACATCTCCCGGAAGGATGAATCCACATTTTTCTTTTTAAAAAGCGAGGAGAACCATCAGAAGTCTTTGCACTTACTCTTATCATAGTACTTACAAATAACGTTGGCTTAGGTGTAAATATATTTTCTTCTTCATGTTCTGGCAGCAGTTTTACCACAGGGATTGATTGTTTTCCAGTTGTACTTTTTACATCAATATGAGACTGAGGTAGATTTTGTTCACAGCGTTTACCATGTAGAGTAAAAATTAACTGCTTCATTTTGGCTAGTTCCTATAAAACCAAAAAAGAACAATGCTAAATTATTAAGTTAAATTAAATTTGAACCTATAAATATTTATTTGTTAATAATAAATTTATGTTCACCAAACATGGATCAGTAAATATAAAAAAGAATATATACTGCCTATAATTAATAAGATTACTACTTAAACCCTAGCAAAGTAAGAAAATAAAACAGGCACGTGGATTTACACAACTCAAATTCTGTCTTGCTTAAATGCTATAAAAGAGAACATTTACTGTGTAGTAAGAAGCACATTATCTCTTTTAACTTAAACTTCCATTCCACTTGAATTCTTTTGCATTTATTTTTCAGACTAAGGGAGTGTACAAAACTAATTTGAATTACTGTGACAACTTGTACTTTTGAGCACTAGATCTTGCACAGAAATTTTATAAATACATTACTAGAAATATTTCTTTATATTCAGATTAGAAAATAAAAATCAATGAAGAACCTTTACAGGATGTACAGCAAAAAGAGGATCAGAATGGAAAAGAAGTTTTGTGAAAAATGAAAGTTCCAGTATGGAACAAGGAATGAGAACATATAGAAATGCAGCCTTTTTTTTGGATATCCTAGTAGTTTGCTTTGAAAACAATTTGAATTAAAAATGTAATCTTTTCTTAATACTTAAATCTTAAAACGGATTACTCAAAATGTACAGTAGTGTGATAAAGGAAAAAACATATAATTTTCTGACTTTACTGAACATCATTTGTCATCTTTCACCACACCTACCTTCTAACATTCCCCCTCCCCCCCATGTAAAAGGCATGATTACCATAAAATAAGTTACAGAATGTAAAGCATTGATTACTATTATTACTATTAGTAGTGTTATTTAAAGCATTCATTATTGTAGAATTAGAAGAGCAAGATCAGTAGAAAAGCCTTTCAGTGTAACTTTTGAGACAATTTTACATGTTTTAAAATATTAATGTTTTTGTTTGCTTGCTTTTTACAAATGGTGTTGTCTTCAATAAGCAACTGTTACTGTATTAGCCTTATATATAATTAACATTCTGTCTCATCTCTCAGCCAGAAAAGGGTAATTTGTGTTTATAGCTGAATGACAAGTATTTGTTAAATCTTACCTATTTAATACCTGCTGGAAAATTACATTGATGCACTTTCTATTTTCACTGAATTATCAGTAATCAGTTAAAAAAAACCCCTCAGCCTTTTAAAATACTCCTGCCATATATCTTCTCTCTGTCCACTGCTGCCTTTTTCAAGAAACAAAGTCAAAAGAAACATGCTGAAGCCTTTAAATTGTGGTACAGTAACTCAGTTATATGAATGGAAGTTACACTCCACAGACCAGCTTTATCGAGTGTACAAATTGTTCTTGTATCTCAGTCATTTAATATTAACTATTTGCATAATTCAGCCATGTGTGGTGGCATGTTGAAACAGCATGACTGCAGAGCAGCTGTTTAAAAGGACTGCATAGCTGATGCCAGCATGTCTTTCAAAGTTGTAAACTCTGCAAAGATGTTGCCAAAGCAACACATAGACAGAATTTTTTGATGAAAATAACTCAAGCAAGTATACAGCAAATAAATACACCATCACAGGAGATTAAATTGTACATAAACAATGTTTTGACATTAGCAAATGGTGTTCCTATACTTAAACTGTGTTATTCTGTGGACCAAATAGTTGCACGTTTGAACATGGCAAAACCCAAAAACTGTCACACAGATTTATTTCAGAAACAGTGTTGAAACTTGTATGTGTAGGGTCAAATTCTCTTGTGTCAAGATCCACTTGGCAGTTTAAAGTCTTCTCTACTTAATAGAATCTGTGCTGTACTTGACAGCACTGTCTGTTTTCAGACTTGGAATAAGCTCTGGAGAGTCAGCTCTCACACAAGCTTCCCTTGTGACAGCAGGATTCTCTAATGTGAAGCTATAGGAAAGAATGACGGGGAGAGGGGATGAAAAATTAGTCCACAACAATGAAGCTATTTTGACATCACAGCCAAATTTATCAAGAGGATTTAGCTAAGGTTGTCTTTATATTTGTTTCAAACCCCCTCCTCATTTAGTAAGACAGACCTTAAGACACTTGGCAAAATAAATAGCACAAGAAACACTGAATCCAATAGAATTATTGGTATGTGTACTGCTAAACAAGGAAAGAAAATTGCCACAACATATTTGCAAGAGATTTGCTGTATTCAACACAGGAAAAACTGCAAACAAAACTCTGTCTTGAACTGCAGTAATTTTAACCATCTCTTCAGATTTCTGTACTCCTGAACACAATCTTAATTCTTACCTTCACTTTCAAGTTCCAAACAGTCATGAGTACCTGCTACTGCTGGCATGCTACCTTGATTCTGTAAGTATTATTTTCCAATCTTAAAATCCAGCAAGTTGGTCTAGAAAAGTAGCAAGGAAAAAGCAGCTCTGGAGATTGTACTTAGCAGAAATATGTGACTTGTTCCAGTGGGAACAAGACCTTGTGAAAGAAGGGGAAAACAGGTAGAGGGTTCAAAGGAGATGGTAAGAATCTTTTGTGGAGAAGGACATTTACTAGTTTCAGGATAAGCTAAGTAAAGGAAGATGTGAAGAGAAAAGGATGATTAAAATCCTTCTACTTTTTATTGTGTCAAGTCCATGTTTCTATGTCCAGGCAGAGCTGTGCAAATTGTTTATTACAATATTCCTTGCAGTTACTCAGTGCACTGTAGAAAACAGTGATGCTAAAGTTTTGCATTTCTCAGTTTCTCTGGGGAAGTATTTGGTCTTTGCCATGCTGGCTCCTGGACATATAAGCATGCTACACAAGACACACATCACTGTGTTGAGGCTTCCAGGTCTGAGGACTTTGGCTTTGGACAGCCATACAGAAATCATTCTTGGGAGGATTATGAGTACCAACACCTCTGAGTGGATTCACCCAGCCCCTCCCTGGGTTGGCTTTACACCTTTGGTCTCACTGTCACAAACTACAGGAACACAAGCACCCACTCACCATTTACGCAACATTCTGTGGGGATGTGGCAGTGCAGATACATGAAAAACAATGCAGCTGGCAAAAAACGGTGGGTTAAGATGACACAAGGAAAAACGTAACCTGTGCAGCTGGCACAAAAACAGTGCTTACATACAATTAGTGTCACCCACACAAACAAGAATCAGGACTATATTATTAAATATTTTGCAAGTCTGCCCACAGCTACCCAATGAATTTTTTTTAAGGATGTTGCTCTGTGTACCAGCACAAGTCCCAAAATCAAAGTAATGAGCTATGTGACACATTAAGTGAGATTTCACTCAAACTTAGAACACCTAAATTGCTATATCTAAACATAAGTATCTAACCACGAGCTAATAATTGAATTTTCCATTATGGACAATGTAGCTTGGAAAGTGACTCCATTCAGAACTGGGCCACTATTGGTGTTGTAACACTAGTCTTGTTGATTAGGCTGCTGTTAACTATAAAGCACAGAAAGATACCTCACCACACACCCCTTCATTTTGATACCTAAATTTAGTTGTGATAAGCTGAATCCATTTCTCACCTCACACTCCTTATCATTTACTTTTCTCAGGCTTCTACTTTGCCTAAAACAACTTTCATCCTGAATAGCCAGTGTGCAATCATAATTCGCCTTGCACACAGATTTGAAGTATCAAATTATTTTCTTAAAAGGAACTGTGTTTTTAGAACAAGCTCTCACACTACAGATTATCTACTTGGTCATTTTTCCAAAACATACAGAGATTCATACTTTAGAACAATCTAACATCCTGTGTTCCACTTATGGATATTAATTCATATTTAGTAAAGATTACTTGAACTATAAAAGAATACTTGAAAATTCTGCATACATAACCAGAAAAGGAGCTGGAATTCAAAGTAACTCATTAGAATGAATGGACTGAGAACACTGGGAGTGATATAGCAGAAGGTGAAGTAAGGTAACATGTATTGCATTGTAAATAGAAGAAACTACTTTCTCATTTCCATTTATATTTGGTAAGTTATGTCCAACAACCTTAGTTAAAAATAGCAAAAGCAATTTTGTATGCCAATATACAAGCAGAGAAGGAGATATAAAGGTTGGGCTCAATGATCTTGGAGATCTTTTCCAACTTTAGTGTTTCTATGACTCTTTATTAAGGTACAGACAAAGGATAGACAGCAGTCTTTTCCACAGTGTCCATTAATTAAAATGTTCTCTGGTTTGGCATATTTCCCAAATTCTACCTTGCTGATTTATTAGGCTAAATACTGGTGTTGTGGAACTAACTGAAAATCATCAGGCTTTAAAACTGTTAAAAGAACGAAACAAGTAGTGTAAGTAATTTTTAAAAGGTAAAATAAAAAAGGGTATTACCTACACATACTTCAGAAAATTCAGAGACTTTCTAATGATGTTTGAGCTTAAAGTAAAAGTAAAAATAAGCTGTAGTTTATTTAAAATAGATTTTATCTGTTATGGATAATTAAAATAGTACCTATTAAAATGGAGATTGAAGATCAGTTTTGGAATACAAAGGATAAAATTTGATTCCTTCAACCAGCAATGCAACTAGAAGATAAACAAATGCAAAAATAAGACATGCAGCCATATAAAATATAAATGTAGTTTGAGTTACAGATACTATAAAAGGAACTCTATTAACATTGGTTTTGATGTCCTTGATACATACTCAAACATACATGTACCCAAAGTGCAGTTTACGTCTTCCTAATTCAAAATGAATAGAATATTAGGTATTATAACAAAACCACAACTTACATTGTCATAGCAAAATGAAAAAGAACTGTCTCACGTGGGAAATGATTGAGGATTAAATAGGTGCTCTTTTATCATGTAACTGATGAAGTATGTGAAAGAAATGCCTACATTAATTACTGTAATCAAGTATAGTATCAAGATAGTAATTCCTTTTTTTTTCGTTGGTTTTTCACCGGTTTTTTTTTTCTTTCTGTTTCTGTCATGAAACTATAATCAAAGGAAGAAAGA